GGGAGCCCGATGTGGGACTCGATCCCGGGACTCCAGGATCATGACCTGAGCCGAAGGCAGTCGCTTAACCAACTGAGCCACCCAGGTGCCCCACACTGAGAATACATTTTAACATAAAATAAAACCATTTGATCGCAGCACTTGGAATTTTCTTTCTGGTGGGGTACCTGGGTGGCTCAGTCGGTTAAGCATCTGACTCTTGATCTCAGCTCAGGTCTTGATTTCAGGGTTATGAGTTATAAGCCCCGTGTTGGGCTCCACTCTGGGCGTGGAGCCTACTTAAAAAAAAAAAAACAAAAAAACTTTCTGGTAGTACAACTACATTTTCTTTTAATGGTAAGAGATGTTTAATTCTACAGGTCTTTTTTCTTTCTTTTTTTTTTTTTTAAGATTTTTATTTATTTGACAGAGACAGAGAGCAAGAGCAGGAACACAAGCAGCAGGAGTGGGAGAGGGAGAACAGGCTTCCCGCTGAGCAGGGAGTCTGATGTGGGACTCGATCCCAGGACCCTGGGATCATGACCTGAGCCCAAGGCAGACGCTTAATGACTGAGCCACTCAGGCGCCCTAATTCTACAGGTCTTTTTTCTACATGTATGATAACTCTTATCCGCAGGAGTACCTTTCCAAGGCCCCCCATGGATGCCTGAAACCACGAATAGTACCAAACCCTGTATATACTATGTTTTTTTTCTTATATATGTGTACCTGTGATATGTTTAATTTATAAATTAGGCACACTGTAAGAGATTAACAATAACAATAAAAAAGAAGTTGTAACAGTATAAAAGTCACGTGAACATGTTCTTTCTCTCTCAAAACATCTTATTGTACTACTCACCCTTCTTAGAATGATGTGAGATGATAAAATGTCTGTATGATGAGATGAAGTGAGGTGAATGACTTAGGTGTTGTGATGTAGGGTTAGGCTACTAGGGACCTGACAGTAGTTCAGAAGGAGGATCGTCTGCTCCCAGACCTTGGTAACTGAAACCGTAGAAAGCAAAACCACAGATAAGGGGAGCGGGGGACGACTACTGTATTTAATTGGAGGTAACAGTCCTTAGATTGCTGCTACTTTAGCCATCGAGCCAGTAACAGAAAGCCCCAGTGATCCCTCTGGGACACAAGTCATGAGAATGGTATTTTGCCTCTGCCTGCCCCAATTCAGGAAGCTGGAGGCCCCCTGGGTTACATAGCCACTGTGACTTCTGTTGGGACCTACTGGAACTTGTCACATGTAAATAGTGTGTGCCAGGTTCTTTGGGAAGTTGAATAAAATCTCAAACCTCCGCTGGAGCTGACGGTGGCTGATCTTTGTTGAATCTACAGAATAAAAAGGGCACAGAGTTGCTGCTTGGAGTGGATGCTCTGGGCCTTCACATCTATGACCCTGAGAACAGGCTGACCCCCAAGATCTCCTTCCCGTGGAATGAAATCCGAAACATCTCATACAGCGACAAGGAGGTAGGACGTGCTTCGCATGCAGACCCACCAGCAGCGCAGCTTGCGGGCTTTCCCTGTCTCTCCTCCTTGCTGTAGTGGTCCCCAGCCAGACTGCTCCTTGTTACCAGTAAAATCCTTTAATCCCCAGGCTTTGGGTTTGGGGTTGTTGTTTTCCGTTTACAGAACAGTATTGGCAGCCTATTTTCAGATGGCATCGCTAACCCCCCCCCCCCCCCCCGCTGACTAACAAGAGGCTGGGGAGCTCAGCTTGTCCAGACGAACCTCCAAAGAATAGTAAACAAACCAGAAAGTAACCTTTTCCTATTACTTGCCTTTCTATTTCTAGTGAGAAATTCTCTTTGTATTTTTTTTTTTTTTTAAGATTTTATTTATTTGACAGAGAGAGCAAGACAGCGAGAGAGGGAACACAAGCAGGGGGAGTGGGAGAGGGAGAAGCAGGCTTCCCGCCGAGCAGGGAGCCCGATGTGGAACTCGATCCCAGGACCCTGGGATCATGACCTGAGCCGAAGGCAGACGCTTAACGACTGAGCCACCCAGGCGCCCCTGTTCTTTGTTAATTTTAAAGGAATTATCAAGCATCTGCTTTGTGTTAGGTTTCGTGGGGGAAACAAAGATGTAGAAAATCCAGTCTCACCCCTCAGGGAAGTTATAGTCAAGCAAGGCCCCGACTGCTGTAAGACAGGCCTACAGTGCAAGGGACTGATAATGCACGTGATGATGACCCATTGCATTTCCGCTTTTCCACATAGGAGTGCTCTCACCCCAACTCTGATTCCCTCCTCCCGAGAACATGCAGCAAGAGTAGGGGCCAGGTTTGGGGTATCTGTGCCACATCAGGAAGTGGAGATGCAGAGGAATCAGGTTAGCTGTGATTGGTGAGGGGAGCTCCACGTTCCCTGAAGTCATAGCTGGGGCGGGGGGGGGGGGCTTTTCTGGCAGCGGGTATAGAGGGTGAGTCCTGAGAGCACAGGGCACTGGGCAGAGGGCAGAGGGCAGCGGGCCCAGACGGCGCTCAGTGACGTACTGGTGCCCACACAGTTGGGATGCTGAGTGTCGAGTAAGGAACAGTGACAGCTCATGTGGTTGCCTGCAGAGCCCCCACCTGGAGCAGATTTCCTGTTTTCCCTTCCCAAATAGCAACTTGAGAAAGGGAACCCCAAGCTCCTGGTTTCCAATAACGTGGTTGAGATCTCCTTGGCCATGCTTGATGAGACAGATTGAGCTTCTTAATTCAAAACATTCTGGCTCTCAAAGTTTCTGTAGCCCAGAAGAGGAGCACTTAGGTATTTCTTTTTTAAAGTACTTCAGTTGAAAGCTCCACATGACTTAAAGCAATAGGTGTGCTGTGGCATGGTAGTTTGTCATCTCTAATTTCATAAAGTCTGTTTACTGCATATTCGTGTATTTTTGTGTGCTAAAGGCTCCCCAAACATTCATTTTTCACAGAACTCAAGGATTAAAGTCTCCCCTAGTATGGCCTGACACAATAAACTCTAATATACCCTCTCCAGGGGCAGGGCACCGTCATGTTCCATCATGTCAATAACTCATGCAGTAAGAGGGCCTCAAGCTGACTTGACATAATAGGAAGTAGTCTTAGTAGTTATGCATGACAGCCATGCTGTCAAAACAGAAATGTTGGTTTATTTTAAGTGATCCATTGATTCTTTGTGCACGTCCCGGCACAGCACAGAGCCTGTGGTTTCCCCACTACTTGTGGTTTCCCACTGACAGCTCCAGGGTTTGACTTAAGAGCCAAAAATAAGTTCATGAAATTCACAAGTAGCAGCCTACACAAGAGCAATAGTGCTTCTAAGTTAGCTTGACCAAAAGCTAACTGAAGGATCATTTTCCTCATTGTGCTAACTCCTCCTCGGACAAAATAACATGCAAAAGAAATACCCAAGAATTTATCTTCCCAGATGTATTTATCTGCTTAGCACGTCTTTCTCGGGAATGGGTACCCCATTTTTTAAGTGCATCTTTGAAATGGAGGATCTGTCTGGTCTGATCAGGAATGGTTGAGAACAGCAGTTTCCATTTGCTCTTTATATGCTTCCCTGCCTAGCGGACTGGCCCTGGGATCTCCTACTTCGCTACCACCCTGTCCTTATTCAGCTTTCTCTCCCCTTTGATTTCAGGAACTGTTTCCCTCTTCTACCACAGTCTATTCTTCTTCACACTTTATTCCTTTTATTAACAGCTTTCAGCTGATAATCCCCATGTTCAGAACCCGGAGTGATGATCTATATGCTGCCACATCAAACCCCAGCCCCTCTGACTGTCCACCCCCAGCCCACCTCTGCCTTCCTCCCAGTCTGAGCCCATGATATCATCTTAGTCGTCAGAGGGTTAATAATGTCAAATACACACACACACACACACACACCCGCTCATTTCTGTTGCTTGCCCTCCGGAATGGCCCTCTGTCCAACCTTTTAGCTTCCCTGTCGTACTCTTTGTCTATGACCAGCTGAAGTTCCCCTCCTACTTAAGGTAGATCGATGCTGAACCCCCATGACATTTGTGATTTGTTCCGCCCAGTGAGGCACTAATAGATGGTGTAATTTCTCAAGTAACTGACTGTCATTAATCTAGTTCCGGCTAGGTGGTGAGCTTCCTGAAGGCAGAACTGGGCCTGTGTCTTTGCAGCGGGCTTCCCAGTGTTGGCCTCACTGTGGGGCCCATTGAAGGCTGGCATTTCAGGTTTCCAAGCCTAAGATGGTACTGACAACACACCTTCCTGGATCCTGAACCTCCACAGCCCGAGACTTGGCGCTCTCAGCCACTTACAGTTCACTGTGGTTTAGTGCCTGGGCACCAGGAAGCCAGGACAAGGCACAGCCTCGTGCTGGATCTTTGTCAGTGTGGTTGCTGCTTTTGTGGAATTTCCCAGCTGGTGCTCACACTCTAGGCTGTCAGACTGAAACTGTTTTCTGCTTCCTTCTTTCAGTTTACTATTAAACCACTGGATAAGAAAATCGACGTCTTCAAATTCAACTCCTCAAAGCTTCGTGTTAATAAGCTGGTAAGTTGAGATCCTGATTTTTGTAACTGATAACTGTAGTTTTTCTGAGAAACTGAGCGCCTTTTTTGAGAGAGTATCAGAGTAATTTCTTGTGAGGTGTAGAATGATAGCTCACCTGCTACACGCTTTGCCAATAGACCTTGAAAGACTCTTCCCTTTAGCTTAACCTAGCGAGTCAAACCTAAATTTTGTGATGTGGAATTAAAAAAAAAAATTATTTTTATGGAGGTACCTTATACATACAAAAGGATAAGGATAATGTGTATTAGGTATAAAGAAGGGCAAAAATAAACATCTACGTGCCCACTACCCAGCTTTAAGAAATAGCACACTTCCAATACTATTAGAACCCCTCATGTTAGCATTCTGCTGGCTTCCCCCACCCGCCTCCCCAAGGGTGATCACCATTCTGAGCTGTGTGCCTATAATTCCTTTGCTTTTCCTCAGAACTTGACTTCCTATATAGCAAAATGAATATACTATTAAGTTTTGTGAACTTTTGGAATTTACCAACTGCTGTCAACTGTCTGTGTTCTTTTTTTTTTAAGACATTATTTTCTTTTTCTTTTTCTTTTTTTTAATATTTTATTTATTTATTTGACAGAGAGAGACACAGTGAGAGAGGGAACACAAGCAGGGGAAGTGGGAGAGGTAGCAGCAGGGTTCCCGCTGAGCAGGGAGCCCAACGGAAGCTCAATCCCAGGACCCTGGGATCATGACCTGAGCCGAAGGCAGACGCTTAACGACTGAGCCACCCAGGAGCCCCAGGACAACATTATTTTCTGAGATGTAGCTATGTTGATGCTTCAAGATATGATCCCTTTATTTTTATTGCTGTATAGTATTCCTTTTGTGGATATATATGTGTGTGTGTGTGTGTGTGTGTATGTGTACTTGTCATTTTCCTATTAATGAATAATTAGGTGCTTTCTACTTCTCTGCCATTTTAACAAGGCTGTTGTGAACATTCTTGTACCTGCCTCCGGCTGCACACATGTAATAGGTTCTCTCGAGAGTATCTGCTTAGGAGTACAGGTACAGGGCTGTAGTGTATGTCCAGATTCAAGATTACACCGTGTTGTTTTCCAAAAAAAGGTGAGTTAATTGACAGAGCCAATGCAGTGGGTGCAGCTTCCTTTTGTTTGATATCTTCCACGCTTTTATCATCAGCCTTTAAAATTTTCTGTCACTCTTGTGCATATGAAATGGTATGTCGGGGTGCCTGGGTGGCTCAGTCGCTAAGCGTCTGCCTTCGGCTCAGGTCATGATCCCAGGGTCCTGGGATTGAGCCCTGTGTTGGGCTCCCTGATCAGCAGGGAGCCTGCTTCTCCCTCCCCCACTCCCCCTGCTTGTGTTCCCTCTCTCGCTGTGTCTCTCTCTGTCAAATAAATAAATAAAATCTTTATTAAAAAAAAAAAAGAAATGGTATCTCAGTGTCATATTAATGTGCATCTTTATATTTACTAATGAAGTTGAACATCTTTTTTAATATTTTTGACCAAGCTTATTGTCTCTCTTTTTTTAAAATTTAAATTCAATTAATTAACATAAAATGTATTATTTGTTTCAGGGGTACAGGTCTGTGATTCATCAGTCTTATATAATACCCAGTGCTCATTACAACACATACCCTCTCGAAACTTACTGTCTCTTTTGTCAAACACTTGTTTCATTTCCTTTGGTTAGTATTTTCTGGGTGGTTTGTATTCTTTATTAGTTATATCTTCTCCCAGCTTGTGGCTTATTTTTCCTCCCTTTTTAATGTCTTAACAAAGAATGTTTGATTTTAATATAGGCAAATATATACATCTTTTCCTTAATCCTTTGTACTGTTTGTGTCTTGTTTGGCATTTTTTTTAATCCTATGATCATAAAGATATTCTTCTATATTCTCTTCTAAAACTTTCAAGGGTTCAGTCTTCGCATTTAAATCTTTAATCCTTCTGATTTTTGTGTACAGTGTAAGGGAGGGATCCAGTTTCTTTTTTTCCACGTGAATAACCTGTCGTCCCAGCCTAACCTATTGAACAAGCTTTCCTAGCCTCTCTGATCTGCAGAGCCACATCTTAACTTAGGAGAATGAGATGCATCCAGAAGACATGCCGAAGTGTCATGTTTCTCTCCTCACGTGTAATTTTTGCCCCCCGGCACACTTGAGGCACCTCGTTTTGCCTGTCTTTGGGGGAGCACTGGAGGACGTTAGTAGAGAGGGCCTTGGTGTTTCACGCTGTGCTTTACTTCTCAGGTTTCCTGCTGCCCCCAAGAGCCCTGAGACCAAGATGCCATAGCGCTGGTGAGCTGGTAGGCAGTGAAGTAAATTTGTGGGTTTAACATTTCCACTGCTTCCGACCACAGATTCTCCAGCTCTGTATCGGGAACCATGACCTTTTTATGAGGAGAAGGAAGGCTGATTCTTTGGAAGTTCAGCAGATGAAAGCCCAAGCCAGGGAGGAGAAGGCTAGAAAGCAGGTGAGCAAGACCATGTCAGAACCACTGTTGTCGCTGAGTCGTGGTCTTGGCCTTGGAGGTAAGCAGCGATCGTGGGCTGACAGGTGTCATTTGGCTATGGATACACCTTCTCTTATTTTATCTCTGTTGGATCTTTACTGGCTGATGCCCAGCCGGTGGGGTGTCCGCTCTGGAAATGAGTAATAAACTCCAATAGCATATGTAAAAGAAACATCTCTAGTTATTTCCCCATCTAAGTAAGTGAAGTGTGATTAATGCAGGCTTGGGAAGTGATAGACAAGCCTGTGTCCATCCATCTGTCCGTCCGTCTGTCCATCCATCCATCCATCAATCCATCCGTCTGTCTGTCTACCTAGCTAGCTCGCTTTCTTTTTGCCTGCCTGTCTCCTTTGCCTGGCCTTGTCCTTTTCCTAATTAGATGGTGATAGAATGCACAGCAGCGTCTCGTGCTTGCTGTGGGAATGCTAATTAGACTCCGGCCGCACTTCCCCGCCACAGGTCAGCCCAGGCGGCACAGTGCCTGCGGTGGGAGGTGCCGCGTGCGCTCATCAGCAGACTGGACAGTCCGCATCGTTGTTTTCTACTCATAAACCATGTCGACTCACCGAAACTCACACAACTAATCTGAGCCTCGCTGCTGAGACTATCCACTGTGGTTTTGGACTAACTCCTAGACGGAGTAGCGGCAGTTGCCCTCAGGACTTGCAGGCTCAGAGGTGTAATCATTAGTCTGTGTGCAGCTCTCTGATGTGGGGACTCCCTGAGATTTGGAATGAAATGCCGTTTGATCCAGCATGCTTTCAGCGTTCCGTCCCTTTGCTCTCTGAGACAGCAGACTCTTTGGGCTGCTTTGGGGGCCACGGTGGTGGAATGGGTTTTCTTGGACAAAGAAATACTCCTGAGCCAGCACAAGTCTAAGTGGCAACTTCAAGAAGAGCCTTCTTTGACCTCTTTTCAGCCGAGCAAAACTTAGAAGTGAGAGATCTGAAAACAGCAATGAGCGCGTCAGCCTCGGGGCTGTGGCAGAGAATAGCATGCGCACACCCCAGACCTGCACTGCCTGTAGAACAGCAGAGACATGTCCCTGGCATCTGGCAGGCCAGTGGCTTCATGGCCCAGTAGTAGTACAGACACTGACCTTAGAGCCAGATGTGAAACTTAGTATGTGACATTAGTAAATGACTTACCTTCCAGACCTCAGTTTTCTCATCTGTCCAGTGGAGCTAATGGTATGTCTTCTCTGTCTCAGATCAAAGGACACATTGCTCCTGAAAGCCTTTGTGAACTGAAACCACCTTGCAAACAGGAGGCCCCTTATTTAGTGGGTGGAGGTCTCAGGGAAAGTGCAGTGCTGGGAACAGAAGGTGGTTGCCTGGGCTTTTTTCAAGTGGAGCATAATGGAGATACAGTAATCTTCTTAATGGAAATTGTAATGCAGTGGAAATTAGAGAACAAATTGGCCAAGCTTTTCACTGACCTGTAAGAGGAAAATTGGAGAAGAATTTACAGTATTTTATTGCTTGTCTTTGCATTATTCCTTCGAGGCCCAATGCCTTTTTTTTTTTTGGCTCAGTATTTAGAAGAGGCAGCAGTCTTAAAAATCTTTTGTTTGGGAGAAGATTGAAGCAAGAAGTAATTAAATGTGCTCTATTTGAGGAAGAAAATAGTGCAGTGGTCACTTCTGGCTTCTGCTTTCTGAACTCAGTTAATACCTGAAGATCACAGAGAATAGCACTTGTCCTATGCTTGTTCCCCTTATTAAGCTCTGCATGTGGCCCAATTAATACAGTGATCCAGAAGGCAGGGCCGGCGGCGGCAGCTCTGTACTGATGCCTTAAGGACGGGAGGAGGAGGGGGCTGCGTTCCCTGCTCAGCTTCCTCCTGTCGCTGGCCTGGCCGGGAGTCGCCTCTGCGTGAGGCTGGGTCCCTGTGCAGTGGTGCCGCAGCCCCCCTCCCCGTGACACACAGTGTGTGAACCCCCGATGCCTCGCAGAGAGCCGTTCCATCTATCTCCGTGGGTCAGAGGCAGGAGCAATTGTGGAGGAAAGTGGAGGTGTGGGAGGGGTCCGCGTGGATGAGAAATGGCAAGGGGGCTCGTCCAAGCAGAAGAGAGCTGTCTGTTTCTGGGGCTGCGTCTCAGGGAGAAGGAACCTGCATTGTGTGCGGTCAGCCGCAGGGCAGAGGCACGTGAGGTCTTGCAACGCAAAGGGTTATTGGCAGGGTGGCCATTTCAGCACACAGTGTGTAAGAACGCCTCCTTCGATCCAGGTAGACTTGGCAGGGCTTGCTTTTTTGTTGTTTTGTTTGTTACCTCACCTCTAGATGTTTTTTCACGGGACACAGCTGGTTTCGGAGGGCAGAGGGAGGCGGGTGACAAGAATGACACTGGCAACCTAAAGTAAAGGGGAGAAAAGAGGGTCTCCTTGCGGGACTCAGGACACTGGGCGTTCTCGGGCCCCCGTGGCACTGTAGGCCGTGGGCCCCATGACTCAGTGGCCACTGTTGTTGCCCCCAGATGGAGCGACAGCGCCTTGCTCGAGAGAAGCAGATGAGGGAGGAGGCAGAGCGCACGAGGGATGAGCTGGAGAGGAGGCTGCTGCAGATGAAAGAAGAAGCGACAATGGCCAATGAAGCTCTGGTGATTGCTGGGGGCGGTGCTGGGCCCCTGGAGGCTACACGGGCACTTGCATGGATTTCAGGACTTAGGCCTCCCGACGACCTCAGATTAGTAACATATGCTTTGACATTTCAGCTTAAAAAAAAAAAAAAAATCAGTGCCTTTTCTTTCCACCTGTGTTGGCGGAGGCAGACTCTGGTGGAGTTCATGTGCAGCCAAGCCCCGCTTTCACGGGGGCTCGCCTTTAAAGCAGGACTTCTCAGCTGGCACTGGGGCCAGATCACCCTTTGTGGTGGGAGCCATCCTGTGCATCGGAGGATGTTTAGCAGTGTCCCTGACCCCTACCCACTAGATGCCAGTAGCACCACCTCCCCCCCCATTTGTGACAATCAAAAATGTCTCCAGGCATTGTTACCTGTCTCCCAGGGGGGCAAAGTCTCCGCTGGTTTAAACCACTGATTTAAAAGGAAAGAAGGTAGGGCGCCTGGGTGGCTCAGATGGTTAAGCGTCTGCCTTCGGCTCAGGTCATGATCCCGGGGTCCTGGGATCGAATCCCGCATCGGGCTCCCTGCTAGGCGGGGAGCCTGCTTCTCTCTCTGCTTCTGCCTCTCTCTCTCTCTCTCTCTGACTCTCATGAATAAATAAATTAAAAAAAACATTTAAAAAAAAAATAAAAGGAAAGAAGGTAAAGTTGGTTTTCTCCCTCATAAAGCATTCGCCTCAGCTCAAGTGGATAGTCAGAAAAGTGCTTTCTTCTTGCTTCCCATGGGCAGAACCCAAAGGGCCTTTCCAAAAAGTTGAGGGTGTGGCTTGTCATCCCTTGCCCGAGTGTCATCTGACGGGACATTCAGGGCCCCAGGGAGTCTGAGATTCTGGTTCTCGCTGACCTGAGTGTCTGAGGCCAGATCTGGGTGGGAAGATGGGCATGTGATCCCCATCCCAGCTGACAGCGCTCTTCTGCAGATGCGGTCTGAGGAGACGGCTGACCTGTTGGCAGAAAAGGCCCAAATCACGGAGGAGGAGGCAAAACTCCTGGCACAGAAGGCCGCAGAGGCTGAACAGGAAATGCAGCGCATCAAGGCCACAGCCATTCGGACAGAGGAAGAGAAGCGCCTGATGGAGCAGAAGGTGCTGGAGGCCGAGGTGCTGGCGCTGAAGATGGCGGAGGAGTCAGAGAGGAGGTTAGAGGTGGGGAGTCCTGGGCACTGGGGCTCAGGCGAGGGGCTGTTCAGTCGTAACCTGGCTCTGAGGCAGAGCTTGACTGCATGTGTCCGCAAGCTTCTTCCCCATCTTCTGGGGCAGCGGGGAGGCTCTTCCTTTGACAGGTTCGTGGTGAGGACTGGTACTTAAGCCAGTGTGGGGTTTGGGGGCTGGAATTAGTGGAAAGGCTCAGGAACACAGTTCTCTTGTTGAGTGGACCTCTGGTCATGCCTGTGCCTGTGATAAACCGCCATCCCTCTGATAGCCGTGTTTGCAGGAAAGCCATCAAGCTCGGCCGCAGACTGCTCTTAGCTGAGGAGCTATAAGGAGACTCTTCTTACGTTTAAAAAATATGGTTCTTTTCCCTTTTCATTTAGGGGACATGTGGGGAGACAGCAGCTATTTACCTTTAACGAAGTAAGGAGGAACCGCTTCCCTGCAGCCCTTCTTGGCGCTAAGGCTCCTGAGGCAGATAGGAGGGGAGGGCCAGGATCCTCTTTGTGGCCAGCTCACGACCAGGTTGAAGGATGGAACTGTAGGCTATACTTTCCAAAGACTGTTCTAGGCTTGGGATTGTTCTGGTCCTGCGGCCTTCAGATAAACACTGGCACATTCCCCACAGCATTTGGCTCTGTTGATTTAGAACACTTGAATTTGCTTTTTTTTTTTTTTTTTTTAAAGATTTTATTTATTTATTTAACAGAGAGAGACATAGCAAGAGAGGGAACACAAGCAGGGGGAGTGGGAGAGGGAGAAGCAGGCTTCCCGCAGAGC